CCACAATGACCAGATTGCCCTGGTCAAGTACAGCTCAATGGAGCTGATTGTACTGCGAGCTAACATCTACTATGATGAGCATGCTAAAAACTGGACTCAATATATTGTAATTTATAAAAATTATTTATAATTTTTTACATTTTGCTAATTGTTTGCAAATTTATGATTAGGACGACGAGTACTCATTCGTATTTCCCATGCATTTACTGATACCTGAAAAGCGAGACCTGTATAACTCGTATAAGAATTACTTCAACAAAATGCTGCCCGAATGGAACAAGGATATTGTTATTCTGGACTTGGTATACAATTTATACTAGCTAAAAATAATTTAATTATTAATTAATTTTTTTGTTTGCTTAAAAGTTGTCCGCTATAGTGCTGTTTAATCCTAACCGTCCCAATATGGTTAACAGGGAAGCCGTTATGTAAGTCCAGAATTAAAAGTTTTTATTTTGTAATTATGTGGAGTTTATTAATATTTTTAATTTTTGTGTTTCAGGGCCGAGCAGAAAATGTATGTCTATTTGCTTCAGCGCTATCTTATGATTAAATATCACTGGGAATGGCAGTCGAAGTCAAAGATGGCAAACCTGATGAACTCGTTGCCAGACTTACAGCTCGTCAGTGCCATCGAAGTCGAGAACGGAGTCGAAGAGTATTTGCATTATTTTGGACCCGTTTTTAGGGAAATTCTTGGATAATACTAAACAAGTATTCAAATACATACATAATTCTAGATTAACAATTTACCATATTGTAATCTAAATTAAAAATAAGATTTATGGTAGTGTAGGATTTATTATTATATTGTTTATTATTTATTATTATATACTATATAACCAATCTGTAATTATTTACTCTTTTATGAATAATAAAATACTAAAAGTAAAGTATTCATTGAAATATTTATCTGATATTTATCTAATTTTAGAAACTTTTACAGAATATGACATGTATCAAAGTGTAATATCTATTGTATGATCATATTTACAAGTGAGTCAAATGTTATGATGAAAGTCACATGAAAAGTGTAATCATTTCGTTAAATTTTCAACACATCATGCTTATAGTTGTGAATTAATTGTTTCAATTCAGTTATTATCATATACTAAACCACATGCAACCCAAGTATCAACTCAATTATGGACGAGGAGTTCCTGCAAAGCCGTGCGAAGACAGGAAGTGACGGCAAAAGTGCCAAAAAGAAGGGCCCGAAGAAGAACGACAACAGAGAGGACTCGTCCGGCGATGATTGAGGGCTGACTCGCACTCAAAGTGAATCGCCAAATGTTTTTCAATTGTTTAATCCCTTGTAATCTCTAGACTTAGTACTCAATTGCACTCATGTTTTATGATAAGTTCTCAAACTTTTCCAGTACTACAGCGAGCGGATTAAGTCTGCGGATAGAGAAATAGCTACAAAACATGTGATAAGCTTTTAAACAAATATAAACCCCTGGATATGCATAAGTATAGTAAGTCAAATTAGGTATATGACAAAATGGTAGTCATATGATTTAAAAACATGTTTAAAGTGAAAGCACGTGTTTTTTGACTTTACATTTAGTTTAGTATTTTTATAAGTTTTCAATTCATTTCTAAATACATCTTTGAGTACAAAATCACATGATTTTAATGACAAGCAAAGTCTGTCTCATCACTAAATTGTGTCTAATATTTTGATAATTTTAATTAATTCACTATTTATTAAGTATTTAATCAACACATCGTTTTGTTCATAGTTTTGATAATTTTATGTAAGTTTTGCTCGTATTTTGTAATATCAAATGATTTATAATAACAATATAATTATGAAATATTGATGTCTTTATGATTTCTTGAATTGTGAATTAGTGGTCAAAGATGAGTGATGTTTATGGCCAGAGCTCCTATCGGTTGTGAGTTTTGACCAAATATAGAGGTTTCTTCACGCATAATAGATTTTACAAAAGTTTTTATATGAAACATGAAATAATGTTTATTGTATAAAAGTAATTTTAGTATTTTAAGATATGGTTATAATTTGTGAACCAAATTAACTAAATTTTGAACAAAATTAACTAAATAGTAAACTAAGTTAACTAAATTAGCTTAATTGTGAACCAAATTAACTAAATTTTGAACAAATTTAACTAAATAGTTAACAAAATTAATTAAACAGTGAACTAAATTAGCTTAATTGCAAACTAAATTAGCTTAATTGTGAACTAAATTAACTAAATAGTGAACTTAATTAATTAAATTGTGAGCCTATTTTCAAAATTATAACCACACTTTAAAATATTAAAATTATTTGTACATTATTTATATCCATCGTATGGTAATACTGTATTCAAACGGGTTTTTGTCAAAACAATGTTTTCCACAATAGCCTTTTATGCGTGACCATACTTTTGTTGCTCACAACGGATAGGAGCTCTGTTTATGGCATTAAAGATAAGGTTAAAATCCTTAAAAATGCTTATAGTTGCAGCAATGAAAAGTGAAAACTATTTGAAAATCGGTGGCAAATCATGTGCGCAAACTTGCAGTTTATGCGGCACTCAACCCTAATTCAAGTCATCCATCTACAACAATGGTCAACTCATTAAGGCTTAAATTTGAAACCTTAGGTAAGCAAAATTAATGCTTTATTACGCAAAAAATTGGTCAAAAATTAACCTCTCCCCCATATTCCCGTCATGCATAGGAATACTTGGTGACAGACCACGTCCTGGTAGGCCGAAGACCGCCACTTCTCCGGAGAACGCAAACAATGTCCTCAAAGAGGTTCAGAATAATCCAAACATTTCTTCGAGACAATGGCTTTGGATTTCAATATTTCCCAAAAATCAATTCTTAGGATCCTTCGGGAACACAAATTCCATCCATACAAGTACAGAGCTGTTCAACTGCTAACCCCCGTTCATTGCGAACAGCGAATGCAGTTCTGTATCTGGGCATTGGATCAAATTGATTCCTCTCAAGACTTGAATTTTGTGAGAAACATTTGTTTTTCTGATGAAAAACAGTTTACGGTTAGAGGTGTTTAAAACCCACAGGTATACAATCCCAAACATTGCAATTGGTCAAAATTAAACGCCCCTCCCTTTTACTCCCAGAATTGCCGCTATTGGGCACAGTATAACCCACATGTTATATTGCCTATCAATATTTAAGGTACCCTCAGAATTATGGTATGGGGTGCTGTATGGGGTGATAGGGAATTGGTCCCTACTTCTTTGAAAAGACAGTTTCTGGAAAGACATTTGAGGATATGCTCATGGATTATGCCATTCCATGTATGCAACAATACCCTGAATATGCAAATGTTCAGTTCCTACTCGATGGCTGTCCGGCTCATTGGTCAGTCATTGTTAGGGAAGTCCTAAATAAAGAGTTTTCAGGTGATAAGGGTTGGATAGGTAGGGGTGGTAACACTGTAGAATGGTGTGTATATAGCCCTGACCTTAATGTATGCGATAGTTTTCCTATGTAACAAATTATGTTTACAAACCTCAGAGTTACCCTGAAACTGAGGATCAATTAAAACAAAAAATAATTAAGGCTTTCAATAGCATTACCCCTCAAATGTTAAGTAAGGTTAGGGTTAATTGGGAAATGAGATTAAGAATGTGTACTGTATTATTGTGATTAAATTACTTATTTAAATATTGAATAAACTTTTTTTATACGAATAATAAATCTAAATTTTATTTAACCAATTTTTTTTGTCACTTACTGTATATTGAAATGTGTGATAAAATTTAGTACTATAAAGGCTGTGTAGAACATTTCTCTATCCGCATACTTTTCCCGCTACCTGTATATGGACCCACTGTTTAATTATCAATTTAATCTCTACTTAATGTTCAAAACTTATTACTCATACTTTGCTGTAAAACGTGTGCTCAAGGGATAGGCTCAGATCGCCTGATAATGGTTGGGATTTAAATCGTCCGACAGTCCATAAGACTTAAAAACATTAGATTTAGGGCTCACTTCTCGTTATAATTTTGATAATACAGTAATTTTCTACATTATATTACTAATAGAGATATAATTATGGGATACTTAAGTGAATAATAATCGCACAAAAGTAGAATATTCTGTAGTATGAGTGAGAAGTTGTGGAAGTGATGGACACAAACACTTGTAAAAAGTAACTTAGAATTACAGTAGATATAACAGCGATATGGTAACTTTTTTAAAATGGCGAATAACTAATATCAACAAACTCGTAATCATTGGGTCATGACCTTGTGGGTTTTATGACCCGTTTTAACAAGACAAGAGTTGAGCTACCCCAACAACTGTCGAGTTATTTATTTGTATAAGTGTGCGTCATTCCACTTTGTCTAGGCTCCCTAGATATAATATTTTACATTTCAAAGGGGCTCTAATCCATTCATATAGGATGACGCTTCCTAGAAATACAGGAGCACGAATCCTGTAGAAGGTTTCATTGTCTAACGGGTGCTCATTAGACAGATCAGGGGCAGGAATCCTGATATAATAGTTTTTAATCATCTAATGAGTGTTCATTAGATT